GTAGATTAGTCAAATATCAGCGAAAGAATAAAAAAAAAGCATTAACTTGACAAACAGGTTGTATAAAAAGGTAGGAAACACTCACAATAGAAAAATGGACTATAAGTCAAGAGAGAGAGATAGAGATAAAATATTACAATCGACAAAATTGAATTTGAAATATTAATATTTGAAGTAAGATCAGCACTGAACATGCTGAGCACAAAAACAAAATAGTAATGCTATATTGAATCCTAACAGGACTACTGTCAACCTTAAATGTTTCTAGCATACAGGGAATTACAGTAATAATAATTAAATATACGACAGTCGTGATATACTTGATAACCTTCTGAGGTTGATCTCTACCTAAGAGTCATGGTCAAATTAATGTAAGTTCAATCGTAAAATAAATATAATGAAAAGTCCAGAAAGCCTTTATCTGAAGAACACCGGAAGAATGGAATGCTATATTTAGAACCATAATAATATGGCATAGAGCAATAAAAATGCAGAACAACTTACGCTTCTGATTCATGATCAAGACAATGATAAAGTACGGCTCAAATTTATATTTAAACTGTTATGTAAAATGGATCTATTTGGAAGGATATTAGATAAATCCAGATTGTATACACCTGCATACGGATAGTAAATGAATTGAATAAGTACTCAAAAATAGAAAAGGTGTGATCTACACGGATCTATCTTCATTACGGGAATATTCAATCTATGTAGCGTAGCTATCCCAAGGGAACTTGTAATCGACCACGATTTATTATCAGTGGTCCAATCCTAGTAATTAAAAATAGACTGATGACACGACAGTGATAGAAGTAAAATAATAAGACTTCCTAGACAAGACAGAGTAAAGGAATGCGAGAAGAAAAGAATAATGGGAAAGATGTATGTTTCTCGGCTAGAGACAAATTTCAAGTTATGGACTACGTATTAGAGATGCCACAATTAAAGTAGTGAAAAGGTTTAAAGTTTTGGAACCTGTTTTATTAGATGGTGGACAATATGACAGTTACATCTGAAGGCGCACTGGAATAGAAAAAAATGCCTTCCAAAAACTAAGCAATGTAAAAAAAAAAGGAACAGGAAGATTTCTTTAAAAACAACAAAAAATGAATTCTGAATTGTTATATTGTCTGAACTGCTATATTCTCGTGTAGGACAGTGAATTCTGAATAGCTATTCGAACAGAGGAAAAAAAGAATTAAACCAACAGAAATGTGTTTGTACAGAAAAATATTGAGAATTCTACGGATGGCTCGTGTAAGAGTCGTATAAGTTTTTAGGAATTTTTTTCGTTTTACGGCATATGAACCTCAATGAGTTATTTAATTCCAACAAGATATTTATTGTTGACAATATTTTTTCGAAAATATATTGCTGACTATTTTTCCCAAAAATGTATTACTGCTTAAATTTTTATTCAAAAATATATTGCTGGTATTAAAATCCATATTTAGATATAGATTTTTGACCCATGTTTCAAGGGTAACTACTTGCCCATAGCTGGGACCTAACTGGTCCTACAAGATCGGGTCAGGGTGGACTTAAGAACACCAGCAGTTGAAAAATGTTTCCACTACCCTCAAAACCTCCTGATCAGAGGCCTTGCTACTTTATAGAGTTTATCGTCATATCCAGGGCGCGGATATACTTTATAATCATACCCAGAACGCCTCATTAGGGTGGAGATGGTCTTACACTTCTGCAGAATTTCTGAAGCCCCAGCCGTCTGGGCAATGTAATCTGGAAAGAAAAGTGACAATTATATTTAAAATAACAAAGGGTCAACTGAAATTTATTGGTCTTAAAAGAAGAAAGTGTGCTTAGAATATTTGAGCCTTACAGAAGAAAAAAGCAAAACATAAATGGGCAGGAAGCGAGTCACTTGACAAGATTTTTTTTTTGTATAGATGGCTGAACGGGCAAAGCAAGAGCTTTTAAAGGGAGAAATATTCCGAAAAGATACAGAAATTGGCTATTTCGAAGCATTATAATCGCCCACGTCTGAATGAAAAGGATACATAGATGTAGATCATAAAACTGATTAATTACCTTTTAGGCTAAATAAAAGGGTTATCAATAAAAAAAAATACAGTCAGCTCAAATTTATTCTACTTAATTTCATGAATTATAGAAAAGGCTTTACAATGGACTCCAATTTTTATGACATTTACAATATTTAAAGAAACGAGAAATCGATTCTATTGCCGAAGTGGAATATTGCACTGTGAAAATTTATATAAAAAAGCAAATAAATAATAGAAGTAAGAATTCGTCTGCTCGTGTCAAAAATATTAATGACAACACTGAAAAAAATATAGATTATTAATTACAATTATGATATTCGAGAGCATATGTCGTGGTTACTCATATAAAATATGCGTTCTCAGACAGGAATCGAAACTGTATACATATAAGGAAACCATTATTTGGCCTGACGTGCTGGAGCATTCAGCCAAAGAAAATGTCTGGTTGGCAAAGTCCAAATTACTGTTTATAAACACGCAATCTTCGACGATTTTTCTCAAGCCATCATGTCTGCTCACGAAACAACTTAACATAAACAGAAAATATCTTAAATAATTGTTGAACATAATCCAGTTCATAATAAGTAGTCATTGTTTACCTTAAGATATGTTTGGGGAGCAGAAACGATCGATCAACAAAAATCGTCAAAGATTGTGTGCTTAAAAACAGTAATTCGAGTTTTGCTAACCAGACCCTTCTCTGTAGCTTAATGGTAAAGTACGTCAAGCTAAATGACGGTTTCCGTAGAGGAATTCATTTCCGATTATCTATCGGATAACGCATATTTTCTATGAGATTTCTCGAATATTCAGCCCGATAAATCAAATTAATACACTTTAATAAATACATTGAGCATATCGATAAAATTATTTATAAACAGAAATATATTAAATAATTATCGGAAAATCCATTTCATAATATATATATATATATATATATATATATATATATATATATATAATGATGTTTAACAGGGATAATTACAAGGAGGGTATGGATCCAATGGAAGATCAATGTAAAAACAGAGCAATCTTGTAATAATGAACCCTTTAAAATTATTTATGCATTAATGTATTTTTAAGAATTCCTTATTCATATATATATATATATATATATATATATATATATATATATATATATATATATATATATATATATATGTGTATTTTAAAGATTATATATATATGTGTGTGTGTGTGTCTGTGTCTGTGTGTGTTTGTTTGTAAGATAGAGAGTGAGTTTGTGTGTGTGAGAGAGAGAATTTTGAGGAATTAGAATAATCATATAGCAATGCAGTGAGTCTAGAAGAATCATCAAAAGAATGCAGAAAGCAGTGGGCGGCCATTTCCTCTTATGTGGGACTCATCAGTAGTGCCCAACGACTAGTGTGAATCGAACTGTACCAACGGATCTTTGTGACAAAGAAGAAACTTGATAGACTCGATTTAGCGCTGCTACTCACAAATTCCGTCGTGATACGCATACAAGTATACATAACCCAATGGGTTGTGCCCCAAGAGCAATGTTTTTCCTTTCCCTTTAGCGGCTCCATCGCAGAGGATTAGCTTCGTCAAGTAAGGATATACAAGTGAAAGAATTTTGAGGAATTACAATAATCATAGAGTAATTCAGTGAGTCAAGAAAAAATGCTCAACTGAATGCAGAAAGCACTGCACATCCGTTTCTTCCTATTTGGGAATCGTCTACATTGCCCATCCACAACCGAGAATGGAAGCCAGACCGTTTCGTAACTCTCTCAACTTGTATTAAAATCAAGGCAACAAGTCATCTTAAACTGTCAAACATGAAGAGAAATTAAAAGCATCTAAAGACAAACCATCGTGAAGATGGGCAAAGAAATGGCCGAAAGCGATTGGGATACTGAACAATAAGGATAATCATTGAACACCCTTACTTCGAACAAAGAAAAATATATAAAAATGCTTGAAAATAAGTAAAAAATAATTAAATGATCCTTGTGACATATTCAAATAAATTTTTATATATATATATATATATATATATATATATATATATATATATATATATATATATGAGTGTGTAATCCTTTTGACGATATACAATGTTTTTGTCATTGACTCTTTTTCTGAAACGTTTATTTTGCTCAGAAAAGCGCATCATTTCATAGTCTGGACTTATATCAGTGGCCACATCATAGGCCCACAAATACCACAATTACAATATTAATGCATTTTTATTGTCAGCATTAATGTTTTTTGCATACCACAAGTAACCTTACTTCTATCAGTTATTTGTGCTGATGTTTTGAAATATTAAGAAGGACATCTTTTGAAATGGACATTATTATATGCGAGGAGAGTTTAGGCCTTCCGGATCTCATGTTTTGATAATGAAATCGTTCTTTTTCATAATGTCTTCTTGTTCTCGTTGGAGATGTATTAATGGAAATATCCAAAATATTTCAGGACTGTTCTCGGTATTCCTGCTTATATTATATTCGTCTGGATGATTATCATTCTTGCTCATTATTCCAAAACGTTAAAGTATCTTCCAAATGCTCCAGTAATTATAGGTAGAGTAACCAGGTCGATATAAAAAAAAATAGCAAACATCAGGCTAACTCAGCAAATGAAAAGTCCTGCTGTAATCATTACCTTAATAGCAGAACATTGTGATTTATAGATTGCTTTATTCACGGTAGTCGTTGACGGAGATTCCATTGTAGCCTAATTTGATAAAATCTACGCGGTTCCAATTTTGGAGTGTGTTTGAGTACTTTTATTAAGCAATCTTCTTTCCAGAATCTGGCTATAATTTGAGATGGAATAAAAATCGAGATAAGGAATATGTATAAAAGCATTGGGAGCGGAATTCAAACATTGTTACTGCAAATTGAGTTATTTCAACAACCTCCACATATCAGACAGATGCAGCGATAAAAGGATTAGTACTCTGAAGAATTTCCTGCGACAGAGTAACTTCGCATTATATTGAAACACCGGTTCCTCTATGATCACCGAAGTTAAGCATCATTCAGCCTGATCAGTAACTAGATGGGTGACGGACTGGGGATACTAGGTAGTGTAAGCTTGGAAATGCAGATGCTGTAATGGTTTGCAGTTGGTAATCGGATAAACAAACCGAAGTCCGGTTGGGTTCTTTGTATTCACTTACTTGAAAGTACCTATAGGAAATATATGAAATCACCTCCTCTTTCCCCATAGCAATGGGTTACTTAGTACTTTTTGTATTACTAAACAATTATACTCTCAAAAAATTCCAAAAAGTTTTAAATAAAATGTAATGTGCAGAAAAAAAGCTGTCATTAATAATATATATATATATATATATATATATATATATATATATAAACACTCACCTCACACATACATACACTCATACAGTATATGGTTGTCCTAAAACGACTTTCGATGCAATTTCATTTGGATGACGCAATCAAGGATCAAGGTCCGACAAAGAAGCAAGACAAGGAAAGAAAATTGAGAAATAATTATTACGTGGAAGATAAGTTCAAATAAAATGATATTGCGTTATCTCGACAGATATTATAGAATATCATACTTCTTTCGGTAGAATTCAAAGACACAGTCGCAAACTCATCTTAATTGAGAATTTTCTACAAATGATCATGGTTGTGTGCAGTGGTTATCGGTCCGGAAAGGTGATCTAAGTGTCGCGTTCAATTTCCAGCTGAGACCATTGAGGTCGCTTTCGCACAAATGTCATAGGGAAACGAACGAAAACCTCGTCTCCCCAAGAACCCATAGCTTGGTTAACAACTTGTCTCTCTATATTTGTGGAATCGGCTTTCGTTAACAAACTGCCAAGGAGAGGGAATTGAAAAGCAAAACTATTAGGTGCCTGACTATTAAGTACACCCAATAAAACTACTACGAAAATTACGACAGTTTCACCTAGCTCATTCTAGATCAATATTTCACAGGCGTATATCTATGTCTCGTATATAAATATGAAGGAATAATACATAGTATTGTGTAGATATTATATGGAGAAATCGAATTGAAATATTACAACCAGCGATAAAAATAAACATAATTTGAAACTGCGGAGAAAAACTAGAAACAAATTTTCGCAACGGGGAATTTCATAGCATTTGGAAATAACGAATCATCATTTCACAAGCATTTAGAAATATAACAATATCATTTCACTTGCATTTAGAAATATCGCATCATCATTTCAAATCGCAGTATTATCTCATAAACATTCAGAAATATTGCAGCGTCATTTCAAAAGCAATCCAAAATATGGCTGTATCATTTACAAGATATCTTAGCATCATACACAGAGGGCAAGTAAAAAGAGAATTAGTGTTCCTTATATTTTCCGACCAAACATGTCATCAAGAGAAAAGAAAAACAAAGGCAGAAAATATGAAACTGACATATTTTTCTTTGTTACTTTACATCATCGAGTACAAGGACAAAGAGCCATTCAAGATAGATGGTTACCGATTTAGATTCTTGCAAAGGAGTATCAGAAACTTTTAAGAGGTTCATGTTAAATGGATATATATATATATATATATATATATATATATAGGTAGCATGTCCATTATTAATATATATATATATATATATATATATATATATATATATATATATATATATATATATATAGGTAGTATGTCCATTATTAATGCATGGGTTTTTGAAGTCTATGGAATTTTTTCGTTTAATAACCTTCCTTTCGGTTTTTCTTGCATTCTTGAAAGTTTTGACTGTATTTGAGTTTAAGACTTGTGTATTGCCGACGCCATTCGCTCGTCGTCAACCGTCATTATTTCTGTATATTTGAAGTGGGTTCATTTCTTTTTTTATATGTAATAATTTTTGAAATCCCAGGTACTGTTGTTGGATTAATTCATTAGCGATTTAGGAGGGGGATAGTATTATTATTTGATGCATTAGGCATCAAATATATTTTATCAGTCTGTGCCTGTATTAAATCCTATTTTATATATGTTGGGCGTTTGATTTTTGTTTACTTGCGATGGAGTCAAGAATCTGTAAGCTTTTATTGAATTTATTTTTGTAGATGATTTTGTTATTGTTGATTAGAATTTTTTCTTATTTCAGAAGATTTGAATCTTTTATTAGTGGTAGAGTGTGTTGTTATAACATGATTTTTTATAGAATTGGTATCATTAAGATTATATGTAAGACGAAGGGAAAGAGTTGAAGTTGTGTGTCCAATGTGTGTGCTATGATTATTATGCAGGAAACACACTCGAAACGGGCATGTAAACCTGTACACTACATTGGTTTTATTGAAAAACGGTTTGGCGGGAGTAGTATTATTTCTAACAATTAGGTTCGAAGTTTTAAATTTGGAGAATTATATTATTAGTTTGATTTGCTTGTGTTGTTGGACATGTTTGATGTATCTGTGAATAGTTTTAGTTTTTGCTAGTTTATCAAGTTTGTAGTTGCTGTGGATTTTCTTCTTATAGAATAAGTTAATGGTGTTATTATTGCCTGTCTTTTTTTTCTTTGATGTTATTATGAATATTTGAAAAGTAGTGCTTTATAGAATGATAAATTTATTGGGGAAAATGTTGTTTATACGCGTTTGTTTTATACTGGGAAATATTGTCCTGGATGAGGAGATGTAAAAAATGCGATTGGTTATGTTTTTGATTATGGTTATTTTATATTTATTTTATATTTATCTGGAAATTGACTTGTGGACTTTTTAGATATTGATGCATTAAATGTATCTTTGTTGTTGGAGTCTTTAAGTTTGTTTGTTTTTGCTGTTGTTGTTGTTGTTAATATTTAGTCCGATTGAGAACTTTAATATAGAGTTTCCTTCAAATGTGTGATCAAGTTTATGAATTATGACTTGTTATAAAGATATTGTCGACAAAACTGGTGTAAGCGGGAGGTTTGGTTATATGATTATTAAATGCTTTCGATATGAGGCATATACAATTCGACATAAGTAGGAACTAGATGAGAATCCATAAATACGCCGTCGATTTGGGTATATATTTTCTCTAGTGGGCCGTACAAGGGAAATTGTGTGGTGCATAGGATTGCAGGTTTTATGACTGTATAGGGAATTGAAGTAAAGTTATAGATATTTTTAATAATTATTTTAATGGATTTATGGGCGGTAGAGAAAATGTTTTCAACGTCAGGAGATGCAGTTAAAAAGTTGATAGAGCAGTGATGATTATGATATATATGAAATCGTTGTAGTCGATTTTATATTGTATTTATTATGTTGTAGATTTCATATACAAACTAAAACAATAAATCTATAACAATGGGGATATACCGGAATATCACAGCAGATCTATCTTCATATCAATGCCTAAGAAACCAGGCACAAACGAATGCAAACTCAACCGAACTATCAGCCGAATGATCCCTGTAACAAAACTCATCATCCGTATTCTGAAGAATACAGCGCACAGTAGAATCAGACCTGAATAGTGCGGGTTCGTTAAAGACACCGGAACAAGGAACGAATTCATACTCAGAATGTTATCAGAAAGAGCAATACAAATGCAGAAGGATGTGTGCCTGTGTTTTATAGACTTCGCAAAGCCATTCGATAAGGTACGCCACAAGTATCTGTTGCGACTACTCAGCAACCTTGATTTATCCTCGAAAAATGCTAGAATAATCAAGAACGGGCAGCAAACAGCATGCATGCGAATATACAAAAATGAAAAAGTCGTAAAGCAAGGATGTGTCTTCTCACCGGACCTATTCAACCTATACAGCGAGGCAAGTGTGAGAGAATTGGAAATCCTACCGGGATTCAGCATCGGCGGCCACAATCTTAAGAAGATAAGATACGCAGATGACACAGTACTGATAGCAGACACAGAAACAAAATTGCAAACCATCCTACAGAAATGTCGCTAAGGAGAGCGAGAATGGACTATGCATAAACTTCAAGAAGACAGAATACATGGTCATCATTAAAAGGATGAGCCCGAAAAGCAATTTGCCGATTGAGAAGTTTAAGGATCTAGGAAGTGTTTTGGTAGATGACTGCAATTGTAACACTGTGATCCGTAGACGTATTCGGATAGCCAAGCACGAATTCCAAAAGCTAGGCAGTGTATTGCGAGACAGGAGGATCTCTTTGCTAACGAAGTAAAGATTACTTGGCTCTTACATAACATTTATCCTCATTTATATCAGTGAATGTTGGACGTTCTCCTTAAGGATGAAGAATATCTTTAGGCGACAATGTGGTTCTACAGAAGGATGCTGAGGATATAATGGACCGAGCGTGTGAGAAACAACAAGAAATTGGAGAGGATGCAAACAAGGAGGAGACTTATGCTTAACATCAGGTAGAAGTAACTGAAGTTTTGGGGGCACTTAATGAGAGAGGAGGGCTAGGATAATCTGATACTCACAGATCGAATACGGCACCTCAGCGTGGTGTAATGGTTAGCAAGCTTGTCTTGCTAGGTCAGTTACTACTGAAAAGTGAGTTCGATCCTCACTGAATGCCCCATACTTTCGGCCTTGTGCCACATCTAAGCTATGCTTGGAAAATCTTTGTGGGCACCTCGGCGTGGTGTAATGGTTAGCAAGCTTGTCTCGCAAAAAACTGTTACGACTGAATAGTGAGTTCGATCCTCAATGGGTGCCCCATAGTTTCGGTCTTGTGTCACATCTAAGCAATGCTTAGAAAATCAATATTCACAGATCGAATAGAAAGAGAACGAGATACAAGGGAAATCACCGAATGGCATACCTTGCAGGCTCAAGTAAGTAAATGGCAGAACGTTGTCTGGGGGAGGTGGCAGAGTTATGAAACTTATTTAGAGCTGCAGGGAATGGGGGGAAATGGAGAGCACTGATTACCTACGTCCCGAAATGACACAGCACATAAAAGAAGAAAGATTTGTTAGGTACGTATGGTTGGATTATAATGTTAATTTTTGGCAATATAATATACAAGCGTAGAAATTTGTGAGATGATGGGTCGGAGGTATTTCCATGGGTCGTGGGCTTCATTTTCCCGTAGATGTAACCGCGTTGATTGTCGCTTATTATTTTGTTAATTTATTGGAT